TTTTTTTCACTGGTTAAATATAGTCAACTTTCGATATAAAAACAGCTGCAATTTACTATCGAGAGGATGTTATATCAAAAGTTGACTGTTAATCTCTTTGAAATCCATTGTTTCTCTTTTACCATTGCATATTACATAATCCTATCATTTTTATAACAGAAACTTTTAAAATTGGAACAACTCATAATATAAACAATATCGTCATGATAGATGTCAGGAGGATGCAAAACGGACGGCAGTGACTAGTCAGCACAACCCAATTACCGTTGGAACTACTAGCCACAAATGTCCATTGCCTCCCGACTGTTTTAACAGGCGGGTGTGGGTCTTTTCAGACCCTGTCTTACACCTGATGATGATGATGATGATGAAATTAAAGGAGTGATCATCTTATTTTTTCGCAAATTGCATTTGATGAAATAGTAAAATCTATATTAAGAAAAACATTACAATTGATAACACAGATTTTCACATTTCTCAAAAATAACATTCACTTATTACTCATGTTACTGGGAAATGTGTCCAACAAATATCAAAATTTAAAAAAATTAACAAACATACATATCTTTAAATTTAATCTTATTTTTTTTTTCAAACAAAAGAAATGAGTCAATGAAACCTCCTGGTAACGACAAAAGATAAGAAGCAAGTTGATAGTGACATTGGAAGATGTTTTAATTATTTTTCAGTGTTTTAAGATATATGCATATATGTGTATGTATTTTGGTTTGGCATTATAATAAACGTAAAATGCTGCAACTCATTGTAAACGCTTCTTCGGGTTTGAGTAGAATACAGAGAACTCTCCGTATATTATCTATCCATTTAAAATAAAATTGGTACTAAAATGATTATTTTTCTACTTTACTTATACAGAGAGTTTGCGGTAAACAAAACAAAAGAGACGATGTTTTCCGATTAAGTTGTATGTTCATTGTTCAAGATAGCGTCGAAAATGTTGTTTTGTATACATTTTCTATCCTTGTTTAGTCAGTAAAGCATCAAGGAAAACATTACAGCTGAGAGAGTATCTCTTGTATTTATATGTAGTACAGTTTTTCATTGTATTACATTTGGTATTACATTTTTAACAAAGCTTGAGTCAGTTCGTTTATTTTACTTTTTTGTTAAAATTATTTAAAAACATTTTGTCCGTCTTAATACGCAGATTATTTTCAGAACAATTTTTTCAAATGATATTTGTCTAAAAAAGATATTATTTTCAATAGTGAATATACATACTAGTTAATTGATAAACACAAAAGAAGGAAAAAAATTTGATCACAAAGAAAGAAACAAGTTTTGCGCACCTAGCGGACAGAAATCGTAAGAAGAGTTTTGTATAAATAAATACAATTTTTATCGTGAAAACAAAAAACAGCTGATAAATTTCTATTGTTTATAAACAAAAATTTTAGGCAAAATTTTTTATGCCTAATTTTTCTAGTTGTAATATTATTATCTAGAATTTAATTAGAAT